ATGACTTACTCTTCCTTGAAGAGATGGAGGATACCTTTCGTAACTTCGACAAAGGGGTTTCCAGAGATAAAACTTATTTGATCGGGTGAGGTGCAAGCAGCGGCGCCAGTCTCTCCTGGACCAGAATTCGCGACATGATTCGACGTCGCAAACGACGTCTCTTCGGTCGACGTGGTTCTCGGAAACGAATGTGATTTGCTTGTGCTTTGGCTCGATAACAACGGGGACATGGTTTCTGCCACGTTTGTCCAAGTCTCTACGTTTATATCTCTTGGTTCTCTGCAACCTCTCGTCTTCTTCGCAGCCATGGTGCCTACAATGAAAAAAGGGATTACACCTCACCGCGTTCTCGATTCGTTGGTAGAACACGAAAGAAATTGGAAGAAGGTACAGCTCTAATTAAGGTATCCTAACGTACATACAGTTACATGCACGTATATCGGTATAGACTGTAGATTCGAGAGACATTTCGTTGTCGATATATGGTCGATATAATATATAAATATAAATATTACGCAAACGATAATACGATAAGACGAATATAAGACGTTTATGCTCACTGGTGGTTTCTTCCAACTCCGAATCACAAATCTCGATGCGAATAACGCACAGAGACACCAAGACAGCGGATGAATTCATGCCACATAATTGAATTACGACATATTATGACAAACATTTCTCTTTATTTATATTAGGACGCCATGTTAGCTCTCACGCTACCGCTACCGCCGTCGTACCGACACTACAGACTCGACCGACAACAGCGCGCGACTGCGTCACTGCGAAGTGCGGCCAAGATTGGTCTATCGCGTGACCTTGATGCTGTGGCACGTGGCGCTGCGCGCGCCGCGCCGTTTCCTCTCACAAACTCTATCACGATCAGCTGATACGCGCGGTTTGTTTCTTCGCGTTGTTCTACGATTTATTTATGGGAAATGTCGGCGAATGACGTAACTGGAGTACGTGAACGTGACCAGCCCGTTTTGCTTCATTCTGCTTGCTCGATGCCGCGGCGCGGCGCGGCGCAGCGTGTTTCTCGCGCTTGTAGCTTGTAGAGCTAGAGTAAAGACTGTAAAGAGTGCGTAGGTCAGTGACGTTGACCGGGAAGATCGCGCGGAGCCGGAGACCAATGTTCCCTACCCGGGGAACTGGGCTACTTGGGATTCTTGGGAATACTCATCGGCATCAAGGATGACGTAATTCGATAGAAAAAGAACGGTGACTGGTCCTCGTGTTCGGGTGATCCGTTTCAAGGTTATGTCCACCATCGGACGTAACGGTTAGCGAAACCAGCGAATGCTCATTGCTCATCGTTGTCGTCGTCGACGTCGTCGTCATCGTCCCATTGTTCTATTCTATACATTCGTTACGCGGCGTGTCAGGTGTGGTCAGGTGTGGTCGGGTGTCGGGCTGTGTCGCGCCGCCCATCTACGTGACTCATTGCGTACTCTGACAAAACGAAAGGTAAGTAAGCGCTTCGACGTGATACGTGATATTGGTCGTGTTATTTTATTAGGTTGTACATACATCCGCGGCTCTTGGTCTCGTGTAAAATAAACATGCGTACAAATGTAGGGAGGAAAAAACATATGCGCAGCTTAAAATTTCAACGAGCCGCTCTCTGTGAAGAGAGGATCTCAAATCCGTCAACTGACGCTCTATGCTCTATTTCAGCTTTATTTCAGCGTGGAACAAAGTGGAGCAAAGTGGGACAAAGTGGCTCCCGAGTCTGAGGCCTCAGGCCTGAGGTGAGGCACCAGGCAGCCAGGCACCTACGGCATCTCATTGCCTCTGTACTCAACTGTACCGCTGACGTAAGAGACTCGTTCGAGCTCTATTTGTGCAACTACGTTATCTGACAACGTAAACTATAGCACGGCAAATGCAATATACGTATATTATACATTTATTTGCTTATGTCAAGACGTTATCTTTGTATCTAATGCTAAAGTAAATGCTGATAAATCCTCCGTGGTCAGAGAAGACGAACAAAAAGCATAAATTCTTTCAGTTGTTTGCATAGTTAACCCTTAAATGCCCTGTGGGATCCAGCGGACCCCAGACCCTTTAGAATGAAATGTTTTCAAATGTTCTTGCCAAAAATGGAGCTTATGCTCCCATTGATGATAGTTGAGTGATTGACCTACCCGTTTGTACACTTAGCAGTACTCAGTTTACTTAATTTTTTATACTATGTTGAAATTGAAATTTTAACAATATAAGCATTTTATTCTCTTTTCTGAGCCTTGACCAACATTGAAAAAAATTTGCATAACTAAAGATAAAAAAATCAATGAGTAAGGAGACATTTTTCATGCTGGGGTCTTTTAGACCCCATGTGTCATTTACGAGATTCTTGAGAGGTGTGGCATTTAAGGGTTAAAAAAAAGTTTATTTTGCATTTAATGTGCGTTTATACTTATAAAAGTATCTTGTACACTACGTAGAATACGGTTCTTCTTAACACACAATTGTAGCTCAAGTATTACTGTCAATAAATTCTAATATCAGAAGCATATCGACAAACTAACACTAATAAACATTTTGATAGCAGCTGTATCCCTGCTTGATATAATAAGCGCTAAATATGTTGTACAAATAAATTATTGGCCTAGTTTACACCGATCTCTTGATACACGTATCAAATAGTTATTTGAACTGATCAGCCAATAATTAGACTTATTTACTAGTTATTTACTATTTAATACGCGTATCAAGTGATCGGTGTAAACTAGGCTATTGGATGACGCATGATCCGCATGATAAAAGTCTCAGCAGTCGCCAAGTACACACAAGAGTTTGTCTCAAAGGTTTAGTGTTGTACTGTAACTTATTAGATATAAATATCTTTATTTTAAGAGTTGTGCCCGAGAGAGACGAGGATCAAAGTACGAAAAAGCTACGGAATTTTATTGAGAAGGAACGAGAAAGGAACAGGCAGCAAAATGGTCTTCGAGTCGATCATTGCCGAGCTCCTCAACAAGGTGATTGGCGAGTATATTGAGAACTTGGACTATACGCAGCTTAAAGTCAGCCTCTGGGGAGGTAAGAACGCACACACTCGGTATCCCCTAATCGCTATCATTGAAAGACACGTGTGTTATCTTGTGTAATAAACCCTTTGCTTTCAGGTGATCTTGTGTTAAATGACTTGTTAATAAAAGAGTCTGCATTGGATGTATTGGATCTTCCAGTGAGATTGGAATATGGTCGCTTAGGTATAAAAATTGCGTTATTTGTTTACGTGTATGCAACGTATAACAGCTAAAGCTGTTAAATAAATAATGATAAACTTGATATTGACTGTTGAGAGTATGGTACGATACATAGAAGATAACGTGCATAGAATGTACTGTTTTGCAATAAAATGCTTTCAGGGAAATTAATACTGAAGATTCCATTCAAAGATATGTGGAATGGCCAGATTGATGCGATAGTCGAGGAGCTGTTTATCCTGGTAGTGCCTACAAGTCAAGTTTCGTATAACGAAGAGAAAGAGACGAAAACGCAATTGGAAGCTAAACGGGCGGAACTCGCGAGGGTGGAAAAGAGGAAACAATTGGCGGACATAAAATGTAACTAAACATTTATGTTTTATATATATATATATTAGTTTATATATATATATATATATATATATAAACTAATGTAGTAGTCTAAATTTTCACAATTGTGTAATGATAACGTATATAATTTGACATTACTGTTCTTCAAAATTATTTTAAATATTCGTAATTTTTATACGATTAAATTGAGATTACGGACCTATGTGCGGAAATGTCTTTTATATCACACGTGCGTGGAAAGTGGCCCATTACGCGCGCGCCATCTGTGCGACAAATAGCCAATTCCATACGCGAGTCAAAACTGTGCGGTAATGTAAACATTACCGCACTGTTTTGACTCGTGTATGGAATCGGCCATCCGTCGCACAGATGACGCGCGCGCAATAATGGGCCACTTTCCACGCACTTTGTAATATAAAATAGGGTGTGTAACACGTGCGGGATGAGAATTGGACACGAGTGCGGGTGATCGCACTCGCCTTCGGCTCGTGCGTCCACTCCGCACTCGTGTCCAATTCTCAACTTCCCGCACTTGTTACACAAATAACTATTAATCTCTAATCATTATTTTTTTTACACACGTGGATTTAAAATCTTAACTTTTGCAGCGCAAGAAAAATTAGACGATTCGATGGTTGAGAAGCTGATCGCTCGCATGATCAAGAACATTCACGTAGAGATCAAGAGGATTCATGTACGGTACGAGGACCATGTCACCTTCAAAGAGCATCCGTTTTCCGTTGGCTTCACTCTGAGTACCTTCGTCCTCGAGAGCTGTACAGATTCCTGGGAAACTACTGGCAATCTGAAGGAAATGTATGCCATTCCGCAGATCTTTAAACTGTGCGGTCTCGACGGACTGGCCGTCTACCTCAATACAAGCGTGGAGCAGTATAGCAAGAGCTCGCAGTCTTCGTATTCCACTCTTTTTTGTAGTGGCATCGCAACCATGGACTATACACCAACAGGTTATCAATATCTGCTAGGACCGATCAACGTCAAGTCCAAGCTCAGACTTAATCCCAAACCAGAGTCCGACGGTAGCAATTATACCATCCCCAAGGTGACTTACACTCGAGACACTCTTCTTCTCACAGCTGAGAAGCTTTCAAACTAGGTTGAATGACTTTATATTTTGCTTCCTCTCCCCCCCCCCTCTCGCAGGTATGGCTGGATCTGGAGATGCAGAAATTGCGGATTGGCTTAACAAAGCGTCAATATCAGACCTTGGTGCGGTTAGGAGAGGGCCTAGATCACGCGCGGAAAGCCGCGCCGTATCGAAAATACCGACCAAATTTGACATCGTATCGCGGCCACTACAGGGAGTGGTGGCATTTCGCGTATACCTGCGTCCTCGAGGAGACCGTGCGACGGTGTCGTCGTAACTGGGATTGGGACCACATGAAGGGGCATCGTGACAGTTGCCGCGCCTACGCCGAGGCTTATCGGACAAAGCTGACGACCAAGAGGTCGGCAAAGGAGATTGATGAACGACTGACGGACTGTGAAACAAAATTGGACATTTTCAACCTGGTAATTATCCGACAGCAGATAGAGATGGAAGTGGAAAGACTGGCGGAGCAGGAGAAGAGCCTAAAGGCGAAGCGAGGTTGGTTCGGTTTTCTGTGGACCAGTTCGCAGGCCGAGGAGACGAAAGAGCTCAATTCGGCTGCAGCCATCATGCGCAGGTTTGTTGTCAAACAATCAAGTTGATCAAGTCGAGCTCTTGGAAATTTTTGAATACTTTTAGAGGTTTCTAGATACTTGAACCATAATATTAAAAAAATGACTTTAATGAGCATCACATTAACGATGATTTAGATTCGAGGAGGCAATGACGCCGCAGGAGAAGGAGAAGCTCTATCGGGCAATCGATTATCAAGAGAATAGCGCGCCCGCACATTATCCAGAGATGTACGAGATGGTTGACACACGTTTCCTTCTGCGTGGTTTGCAAATCTCTCTGCTGGACACGGACAAGGAGCACCCGTGCATCTTGGACTTGCAGCTACACGGCGTACGAGCAGGTTTCAAGTCGCGGCCATCCGCGAACGCGATCCTCGTCACTGCCTCTATCAGCGACATGAAACTGCTAGGCGTGACGCAGAATGGTCGCGTGCCTTCGCTCTTTAATCCGGAACACGGCAGCTCTGATAGCGCCCTGCTGTCGGTGTCCTATGAGAAGAATCCAATCGACAGGCTGTGCGGTGATCGTGTTATTGTCAAGTCTCGATCCGTCGACATCATCTACGATGCGCTAACTATTCTAAAATTGGTCGACATGTTTAAGGTACTCTTTTCGTCTCGATCCTCGAATGCGCGATAAATTTGCGTGGAAATTTTAAAATGAGGAAAATTTCTGCTTGCATCTGCCAGAATTTTTCATGAATTCTTCTCAATTATAATTTATTTCTTCGTATCTGTTGCGAACTTTTTTTTTTTTTTTCTTTTTTAATATATATAAATATTTTCCTCCACAGGTACAAGACTCTTCGACGCTGAATCAGCTGCAAACAGCCGCGGCGGAACGGCTAGTGGGCTTGAAGGAAATGTCGGCGCTCGGATTGGAATATGCTATACAAAAACATTCCGTGTTGGACATACAAGTGGATATGCAAGCGTCGCAACTTATCATACCGCATGGCGGTCTCTACGACGACTCAAAGGCGTTAATTGTCGTGAATCTAGGTAGTCTAAAGATGCATTCCCTGGAGAAAGGCAAGAGCGACATGGCTGGTGCTAGCGTTAAACAACTGGTTAGCATGGGCAAGAGCGAAGAGGAAGTACTGCTGCATCTGAGGGAATACAGCTACGACAAATTCGTTTTGAAGATTGTCAACTTTCAAGTACGGATAATAGATTTCCACAAAACACGTGATACTATTTTATGTATATGTATTTTATGTATTTTATGTATATGTATGTTTATGTATTTTGTAACAAATTGCAATGTTCTTAAACGTTCGTTGTTGCCAGGTGCTGGTCTCGCTGCCGAATGAAGAGTGGCGATCAGTCTTGGCAAGCACCGAGAGTCCCCTGACATTGCTCCATCCAACTACCTTGGAAATTCAGTTCCACAAGTGCCTGGTGACGGACGATCCTTTGTTGCCAAAACTACGGCTTCTCGGTCACCTGCCGTCAGTTGCCGTGAACATAACGGATGTTCGACTGCTACAAGCGCTCTCAATCGCGCAGAGCATTTTACCACCCGAGGAGGAAAAACCCGCCGAGTTGCAGCAGCGTATCTCCCTCTCCAAATCCGTCTCGCAGCTATCGCTGAAGGAGCTTGGCACCACGATATCGAGCATCGCCGACAAAAGGAAACAGCAGCAAGAAACTGCCGCCGCGTCGATGAAGCAGACCACTGACTTGGAGATGAAATTCGAGATGAAGGAGTTTACGCTGTCAATGTCCAGACAACGAGACGACGACGACGCATCTTCAGAATTCATCAGGTTTGCGACGCACGATTTGTCCCCATCTTTTTGTCCTCATTACCTTACAATTTAATGAAATTTTAAATTAGCTCCGACGAGCCTCTCTGAATTTACTCGTTTATCTCAGATTACAGGTGCTACAGCTGGAGGCAGAACTGCTACAACGTACGTACGATCAGAAGGTGCAGCTGCGGTTAGGCGGCGTGCAGATCCGGCAGCTGTATGAAAATCAGGAGATCTTCATGGTCAACACGCCGATGTTGGCCGGCAGAGATGAGTATTTGATCGTCGTGCAATATGTGAATGTGAACAAACGCTCGCCGGAGTTCGTCACGCGACACGGTTCTGTTGTGAAGCTGCTTCGACTGGAATTTACCTCGCTGGACGCGCTGTTACATCAAGAAGCGCTTATCGAGCTGCTGCGATTTAGCACGTACATTCAGGACCGAATGAACTCGCTTGAAGGTGCTCAGAGGAAGGAAATCGAGGGGCGTCCTCGACCGACCCGTTTGACCTCTATTCAGGAGGAGACTTCTGGTTTCCTCAAGGAGCAGTTACAGAAACAAAGATTGAGACCCACCGGAGGTGGACGACGCAGAAGGCAAACCGTTGAGTGTATCGATCTAAAGGTGAACGCTAAGATTGGCTCGATCAATCTCAAGATTTCCAGCGCCGCCCGGGATATTACTGCGCTCTACGTCGAGGGTATCAGCGCCAGTTTTCTCAGCAAGTCTTCGTATTCGCAAATGAACGTCGATCTGGTCTCGCTCAGCATTAAAGATCTCAATCCTTCTTCTATGTACAGGGATATCGTGGCTGTGGAGGGTACTGAGTCTTTACAAATCCAAACGGTGATGTACAACATTGAGCAATGGGAGATGGACAAGAGCAACATGTCCGTGAAGGTGACTATGGGTTGCCATCGCATCGTCTTCCTAAATGCATTTGTTACCAGCATTATGACGTTCCTCAACAACTTTCAAGCGGCGCAGAAAGCTATCAAAGACGCATCGGCGGCGGCGGCAGAAGCCGCCAAGACAAACATCAAGGACGTTCAAACAAGTGCCTCGCGCATTGAGCTGAGTGTTAAAATCAAGGCGCCCGTCATATACGTGCCGATGAACTCCAAGAACCACCATAGCTTGATGCTAGACATGGGCAATCTCATGGTATGTAACGTCTTCAAGAAGCTAGAGGTGACGAACGAGGAAACCGGTGAATGTCCCGTGGTAGATGAAATGAAGATCGAACTGCAGAATTTGAAACTATCTCGAGTTCGACTGAACATGGAGAAGTTTACCAGCGAGAACGAGGTGCTGCTGTTGGAACCGGTAACGTTTACGCTGCTAATGAAGCGTAATCTATCTACCGCCTGGTTCACCGCCATTCCGGACATCGATATGTTTGGCAGATTGAATAAGATTAATCTGCTGTTGAGTAAAGAGGACTACGCTACGATTTTGAAAGTGCTGGAGCAGAATCTGGGCGAGACCGTCGAGGACTCGAAACCCGTGCAAGCTCTGCCATCCGCCATCAAGTCCGAATGCGGCGGAGAGCTTGAGATCCAACCGGCGTACAAATATGAGATTGACGCATCGCGAGAAGCACCATCGTTGGACGCACAAGAACGACACGCTCACACCGCCGTCAAATTCGAATTTATCATGGACAGTCTGGTGATCAGTCTCTTCACCGGCGGCTCCAAGTTGCTGCAGTCGCAGACATCGCCGTTGCATCTGCCTGAGTATGGACTGGCGCGCTTCAGTCTTACGCACTTTGCCGTGAAGGGCCGTGTGTTTGCGGACGGTCTACTGGCCACGTCGATCCTGCTGATGAACTGCACGCTAGACGACATACGACAGAGCCGAGAGGGCTCGCTAGTGCGAATCATGGAAAGGACAGGCAGCGCGCCATTTTCAGGATCCTCGCCGAGCGAGGATCATATCGACAAAGAACACAATGCCAGGAGTATGCTGGACGTGACAGTGCGTCAGAGCCCGAACGACACGTTCGCCGACGTGCGAGTGTTCTCTTTCAGCATCATCGTGTCCCTCGATTACCTCATGAAGATCAAGGATTTCTTCGATGTGGCTGTCGCGAACAAGACAGCTATTACTTCCTCCTCGAGAAACGACGCGGTGATGCCAAAGAAGAAACCAGCGCAACAGCAGTCGACTGCTTCGACGCCCAAGATGTTAACTGTAAATCTGCACGTGGAAAAGCCGGATATTATCCTGCTTGAGGACATGGACGATATCAACTCGAATTGCATAGTACTGAATACAGAATTGTTGCTGAAGGTGCGCATCATGGGGGAGCACCAGGTGATCGCGGGCTCCATTAAAGATCTCTCGCTGCTGACGGGGATATACAATCCTGTGAAGAGGGCCGATTGGATTTATCAGGTCTTGAAACCATGCAGCATTAGCGTAGCCGGTTCCACGCCGGAGGGCAAAGGACTCCATTTAGAAGTCTGTTGCACGGACATCCATGTTTCTGTTTCGCCAGGTGTAATCGAAATATTGAATAAGGTCATTCATACGGTGACGAGAAAGGAGGAAGAGGACAAAGAAATTGTTAAGCTCGAGCCTAATTACGAAGGATTGTGGATCGTCACGCCCTTTGAAGAGAATAATTATTGGTTCTTAAAGACAGAAGTCGCAATGGAAGCACTCGAAGAGTTTATTACGTATCCGGACGACGAGATTGCGGCGGCGGCGGCGGTGCCTTACAAGCCCGAATTGGCAATCGTCTCGGCGCCGACCATCTTGTTCACCCTGGAGGCAGGTGTCGGCAACAAAACTCTGCCCATGTTGCTGCTTCACGTGAGTTTCCAAAGCACGGTCAACGATTGGAGCACAAAATCTATGAGCGTAGACTCGACAATGTCGGTGATTATGTCGTATTATAATAGTCGCCTCGCGCTGTGGGAACCACTGATCGAGCCGATAGAAAGCTCCGATAACGGTAAACGCCGCTCGACGCCGTGGGAACTGAAAACCAAAATCCAATTTAACGACATAATGCTAGACTTGAGAGGTGCCAGTGCGGCGGTTAGCCCAATCTCGGAGAGCGAACCCGAAGAGCTACATCAGTCTACTAAGATGTCCATTGACGTTACGTCCTCTGATAATTTGGAGATAACCGTGACGAAGACGTGTCTGGATGTTCTGAAACAACTCGGCCATTCGTTTTCCTCGGCTATGGAGGCCAGCGGGAAAGGGCCAACCAGGAAAGTGGCGCCGTACGTGCTGAAGAACGAAACCGGCTTGGCGATAATACTCGACCTGGAGTACAGTTTCTTCAAGGTCATTATAATTAGAAATCTAAAATTTCTTTCCGTTTGCCTATTCATATCCGTCTGTAATATATAAATGACTCGGTCTTGAATATGTGAAAGAGACAATGGTTCTTATAGATTTTTGACGATGGATCGAGATCAAGGGACCACAATGACTCGTATATGGAAGTGATCCTTGAAACCGGTGCGTCGATAGAGCTCGCGTCCAAGACATCCAAGCTGGATGACACGCGTCTTCTCGAGCAGTTGAAAGTGGAGATCGTCAAGGACAGAGAGGACAGTAAATTCTCTATATCTGTAAGTTATTATATAGACGTAGCGTGTAAAATTGTAGGGATTCGCGATTTCTTTGACGAATCTAAAGTAAATTGTTTCTTGATGAAAACAGTCGAAAACAGTTGTCGACTGAAGCGACTGAAGATAGCGCTTTCAGATTACAAGTAGATCCACAAAGTTTATTCAATTGATCAAGTATGTCAAACCTTGCAAATTTTTATCAAGGAAACATTGAATCTCTCCAAGAGATACCAGTCAATAAATATATTCTCAATATGCGTATCACATATGATACACAACTTGGAGAATTTGTAATTAATAGAACGGATAAATTGACAATTTTATCATTTTATTGCCATACTACGTAATATGACATTTTAATTTTTATTAGTTTAAAGGTATTCAAGGCAAACTGGCGATACCTGTGTTGAGAGCGGATCGGAGATTCTTCTCTTTGAAGCACCGAAAGGAGGGCTCCGAGGAATGGGGTATCGTGTCGGATGTCATTGTGGAGGAGGGTAGCACGATTGTCACTCTTAGAAGCATTCTTCAGGTATAACGAGAGAGAAAACATTTACTTTTATCAATAATAATCAGCTTTCCGCGTGTTGTAGGTTCACAATCATTTCGCGCAGCCGATATCCGTTTATTATATGACGAAACGTGGAAATGAGGTGGAATGTGTGGGCACAGTGGCACCGAATGAGAAGCTCAATTTACCCCTAGATGCCGTGTACACCCCGACCAACATTTACTGGCTGTTTTTCAGCGTCGATGGGTACCGTCGCATTTTTTGACATTAGTAACATTATTTTATTTTGACTATTGCATAAAGCTATTCAATGTAACTTTGTAAATATAAGATAACGTATAAAAGATAAGATGAAAAAAATTGAAATACATATAACATGTATTAACACGAGGGAGCTTTGACATGCAAAATTTTCAATGACTAGATCTAATTTACTTTAGATATATGGTATCAGTTGAGCCATTCGTATGGAAGGACCTGCAAAAAACTGTTTCCATGACGAAACTATTGAAATGCGAGTCGCGATCCAAGCAGGATGCCACAGAACCATTTTACATTCAGGTCAACATTTTTTTCTTTTATTAATATAATTTTCATGATGAAATATGTATACTTGTCATCTAAGCTTACATAATTTCGTCGAGTTAAACAAGTTGACGAATATTCTTGGTTAATAATAAATAATAGAGAAATAGAGGATCCATCCATATTTGTACAGGCTGTAGGAGAGATCGAGCAGGTATATTTCGAAAATACCACTCGTCACACCATGGCTAGTACCGTCTACAACGTACATCTGTATCCATCTGTGTACTTGAAGAATTTCCTACCAATCGACATCATTATCTGCTTGCCTGGCACTGCTCAGGAGAGCTTACTCGAAGCAAGTGCCTCTCTGCAACTTCCTACGATTGATCCAGCCAAGTCGAATATAATAATTAAGGTAGAATACACACGTCAATTAATAATACGTGTATAAAACTTGTCAACTTTTATTATGATTAAAATGTGAATTTCAACAGAATTCTCTAGGATTTTAAGATAAGAGAATACAATTCAACAATCTAAATAATAATAATATAAAATGTGTGAAATATGTATATTTGTTGTGCAAGATGTAAAAGATGATTGCCATTTATTTTCTAAGTGAATAATGTGTATTACAGCTACCCAATTACCTCGAGAAAGATTGGTCGTGCAAAGGAGAGATAGTGGCAAACCCACCAGAGTTCGCGGTTTGGTCGTTCGAATCTTTCGACAGCGCGCAGAAGGTGATCCTGGATCTCGGAATGCATACGTCTTACAAGCACAGTTCGATTGTCATGGCGCTGTATTGTCCCTTCTGGATGCTGAACAAGACTGGTTTAATGCTATCCTATAGAGTATGTTTCCAGCGATAATCTCGTCGCTTTTTTTCTTGGTAACTTTGCCTCTTGTGTGGCATACGATTTGCAATTTATTATTAATTTTTACATCTACCAAAGAAATCTTTCTCTAAAGCTTTCCAAGATTTTCAAATCTCAGCCAAACCATGTTCTAAAAAGCCCCTTTTCACTCGACTCAAACATTGTGAAATTCTTTATTAATATGCACTTTTCTTATGTCATACATACTAACGTTTGCTTCTTCGTCCGATCTTCAGCCTTTCTTGTGCCCCTCTCAGCCCCCCCACCCCCGCCTCGACCTCGTTAGTGTATCGCAATACTAACCAGCATTGCATCTTGCCTGATTAGAACCCTGTATTCAACATGCTCCATTATTTTACAGAAATCAAGTAAGGGTGGCAAAGAGCATTCGAGTCCGATCAAGGTAGAGATTTCCTGTTATCGTGCCGCATTATTGTGCTTCTCGTGTAAATAGTTATTAGCAAAATTCTCTAGTATTATTAGCAAAAAATTAGCCATCAGAATTTCGTCTAATCTTGTACAATTATTGGATTATTGATAATAATTATAAAATAATTTTATAAACAATCATCATATACCACTCAATTATCAAATTTTGTTGTCGACTGGATATCGATATTTATCGCTTTATATTCGTAAAAATGTACATGCAAACGTCTTTCAGAAATTCGTTTCCGCTATGAAACCCCATCGGCAACGCGCACAGTACAGGAAGAGGAAAACGCGCGCGGTGACGCATCGTTTTATTTTAATATTATCGCTGTTCTCGTGCTTGTGTTCGCAAAATTATCAATTATTGTGAAATAACAATCGTCTAATCTAGTCGTGTCGCCGGAATTGAACGCCGTAAATTGTGTTAGATTATCATTGTGTTACTCGTATTGTGCCAATTTTTAACACGTGCATTTTATCGAACATAAGTCGCACTCATACGTAAACGTTAGCTATGTATATCATGTGTAATTGTGCTTCATCACACACGCTAATTCATTTTCTGTTCTCTTTACCTAGTCCCTTCTCTTCTCATTTAATTTATATTTAGATTTGTTAAATCATTGCGTTCTTGAATATGGCGAATCCACTCGATCCTCGATAGTGTTTCGGCGTTTTCCTCGTTTGCGTTTTTTTAGATATTAGACGTATAAAAAAACCCGATTGCAATGCAAAATCGAACAAGTTATGTATAACGAGCTAATATTATGGAGGTGTTTGTTACTCGTTTTTATTAACTGCATGATGTACCAAAGGAATTATTTTTGACGAACTGAACGAGAACAACTTGAATCGATAATGCTCTTTCCAGACAACGGACGATTACTTAAATATCTTGTACCATCCGGAGCACTTTAAGGGACCTATTCTGTTCTCGTTCCGCTCCAAAGCCTTCTTCGGCAAGAAGAAGGCCATGATCAGAGTGGAGGATGGAGAGTGGTCCGACAAATTCTCCATCGATGTCGCGGGCAGTGAGGGTGTGGTAGCCTGCAAGTACAATGGAATGACATATCAGGTTCTTTTTATTAATCTTTTTTATTCATTAGAGATTAGAGTATATTGTGACGTGTATAATAATTGATTTATATACATACATGCATACCTACATACATACACACATACATTTATGGAACAAGGATGTATGAAACAGTAAAGACTGTGGATCAAGAGGGAAAACAAAAGTATAAAACCAAGTATAAACGATAAAACTCTCGTTTTTTTTTGTGGCAGATCGGGGTACACAATCAATTGACATACAACTTGTTGACCAAGCAGATTACATTTACGCCCTACTACATACTTATCAACAACGCAGATTTCCTCATAGAATGCCAGGAGGGCGATCGACCAGCCGATCCAATGGCCAAAGTACGTTAGATATAAGCACGTCAATTACTGTATCGCTCAAATATTTTAGTGAAATTATTGCACTACAATGTCACACTGCTGCATGCCAAGGTACCTCCTGGTGAATGCGCGGCCTTGTGGCCTAGAACCGAACACGAGGACAAGACTTTGAAGGCCAAAGTCGCGGGTCAACCTGAGAAAACCGCGGCGTTTATTTATACCGATAGCCATACGACTCTGCTTAAATTGGACAATAAGGTACGTGAGCACAGTAACAAAAAAAAACACGTATATTACATGTAATTTATTTAACAAGGTCGAGAGCACAAGAAGACCAGAATAAATAATCAAGTATTTGTGTGTTTTGCGTTTTATATTTTTAATAAAACTTTTTGCACACTATTATAGTATGGAGGGATCAATGTGGACGTGCAAATCAGCGAGGGCGGCGTTTACATCTCCATGTCGGCCTACATTCCGGGCAATGCGCCGGCTTTGATCGTCAACCATACGCCACATACCATCAATCTATGGGAAAAAGGTTCAATTAACGTTAGGTATGTTGGAACGTCGTCCAAGTGATCGTTAAATTTGATGCCAGGATGCAGTAAATTATCCCATATATTGATTTATTTATATGACGTAATCGCGTGTTTGTACATTGACACAGGTCTGTACAGTCGTACAACAGAATGTTTTATACTTGGGAAAACCCGGCGGGTCCACGAAAATTGGTTTGGGAGGATAACAACGGCAAGGAAATCGAAGACAATCTTCGCAAGGTAAACGGGAAAGATGATGAAAAGCGAAAGAGATCGTTTTTAAAAGTGGAGAATACGAATGAACGCCATCGCCTCGTTTCTTTTCCAGGATAATCTTGGTACCTTTGCACTGCCGGATATAGACGAGAAACTGTTTTACGTCTCGTTCCTGGACGGTACTCAGCGAGTGCTGCTTTTCACTACAAATCTGAAAATCGCCGAGGATTGTCAGCTGGCCGGTGACTTGGAAGTAATAGATCAGGAAATCACGCTCAACATTCACGGTATTGGCGTCTCTCTCGTGAACAACATCACCAAGTCCGAGTTGTTGTACATGTCCATTACCAGGTGAGAATATTGCGCGACTCTTTTACCATCTTTTATTTTATTTAAATATATTGTGCCATTTTTCAGGATTTAAACAATATAATTTATTTCTATTCATATACACACGTGTTAAATGTTTATATAATAATTAATTACTTTAAATTCGATATTACTTAACGAAATGATGTTTATCCTCTTTATAATTATGCTCGTGTGTAATATTAATGTGATTCTATTATAATCCAGCTCTGGAATTATATGGGAGACGCGTAAATCTCTTGGCGGCCGATGGCGAGCGTTAAATATCAAGGAAGTTAACGCCATCGAGGAAGGATATCAACGCTACATTAGAGAATTGCAAATCGGCAGGGACGCAGACTACCGGGCGATGTTGGACCCGAAACTAATGGTAAAACAAAAAGCTTTCACTCAATCGAAGCTTCTAAAGCTTGGATCTTGATTAATTTCTGGATTAAGAAGCCAACTAGATTGTTGCGTATGAATATATATATATAATAATTATTTCACATTCCTAGGTGGATTATCTGAATATGGAGATGCTGAAACCGCATCGTAGATACATGCGACGTACGTTTCAAACTGGGCTTTGGCTACAATATCGTACCTCAGCGCATCAAGTACAGCTGCACGCAAAGATCAATAAGCTTCAGATCGACAATCAGTTTTCCGAGTGCGTCTTTCCAGTTATATTAGCTCCAGTGCCACCGCCGAAAAGCGTCACGCAGAGTACAGGTATCAATTTATTATTTGTATGGCGTGAGAAACACGTTCCTTTATTGTACTCTATGTGATATGCCGTTCACGTTTAGTCATTGTATACACTAATGAAAGCAGACAATGTCCCGAATTTTGTATAACGTACATATTTCTTTGTACGTTCTTTTATTCTTTGTTTCTGTAGTCATGAAACCTTTCGCGGAGCTCAGTATGGTCAAGCGCCTGTTGGAGTACAGCACCGTGCAACAATTCCGATACTTTAAAGTTCTCATACAAGAGTTTCACATCAAGGTGGACATGGTCTTTATAAATGCAATAATGGGCCTGTTCGAAGCTGACCAAGTCAACGACGCCGAAGAGGTGAGATATGAAATTGAGGCGGGATCGTGAGATTTATTTAGATTGTTTTAGGATATATAGATTATCATCTCGTTCGTTCATTTCAGAGTGCTTTATTCCGTACAGACATGAAACTCGTTAACGAACCGTTGATGTACCACGTCAGTCTCATCACCACGGCCGAGCAAAAGAACTTCTTCGATCTGCTGCACTTCTCGCCTCTCAAGGTGTGCCTCTCGCGCGTTTTAATATGTGAATACAAAAATCCCACGTGTATTATCTACCTTGACAGTCGAGTCTTCACTTGATTTTTCTTTCTTTGTTCATACAGATACACATCAGTTTCTCAATGACTGGAAGCGGAGGTGGACCCTCAGCGTTGCCGCAAGTACTTAATGTGCTGTTGCAAGGAATCGGCGTGACGCTGACGGATATTAACGACATTGTGTTCAAGTAAGGTTTTCAATTTAATGTAAGAGGTGTAATATTAGTAGAGGTATTTTTTAAAAAATTACTAGATTCAAGATCTAAAATTATAATCTTTTATTTCTAAAGCCTTGCACAGTCTTGGATATTGTACAGCGTGGTACATATTTTCTAGGATTATAAGATTAAAAGTTCTTCTATTTTGGCACAGATTGGCGTACTTTGAGAGAAACTATGTATTCATGACGCACAAGCAGCTTGTTTCCGAGGCGAGCACTCATTATGCAGGCCAGGCGATCAAGCAGGTGTATGTACTTGTGCTGGGACTCGATGTGATCGGTAATCCATACGGGCTCGTGGTCGGGACGATGAAGGGCATCGAGGACCTGTTCTACGAACCCTTCCAAGGGGCCATACAAGGTCCGGGGGAGTTCGCGGAGGGCCTGTACCTCGGGGTGCGCAGCATGCTGGGCCATACCGTCGGCGGAATGGCGGGCGCTGTGTCAAAGATCACGGGAGCGATGGGTGTGTGTCTCTCGATCACGGTGTCCTTTTAATTATATTCGATTAAAAAGGTTGTAGGCGCTCGTTGTGCGCTCGCAAAAAATGTCGTACACTATGAATAAAAATATTACGCTATGTTTAATCGTAGTTGGTGATGTTTGCCATATAAAAAGTTTTTTTTTTATTTTTTTATTTTTTAATGTTTTCTTTATTTCAACTGCATGTGTATATATATATATATATATTTACTTTATTACTCGCTTGCTTTTGTAGGCAAGGGTATAGCTGCTCTGACCTTCGACAAAGATTATCAGCGAAAGAGGCAAGAACAGCTTAACAAACAGCCCGCTAACTTACAAGAAAGTCTCGCACGAAGCGGAAAGGGTTTAGTCATGGTAAGATCGCACGGGTTAATTATTTTATTGATTAATTAATTTGATACATCTAGGACGTTTTAATCTCACTTGACAGGGTGTATTCGATGGTGTAACGGGTGTAGTAACGAAACCCATATCAGGCGCAAAGGAGGAAGGAGTAGAAGGATTTTTCAAAGGGTTTGGAAAAGGTGTTGTTGGACTCGTTACTAGGCCTACGGCTGGTGTTATCGACTTTGCAAGTGGTTCCTTTGGAGCTATCAGACGGTATGGCTCGTTAAGTATGCAAAAGTAGTCTTAATAACTTGTTTATTAAGACACGTGAAATTTGGACGTGTTTATAACGTAGCTTAATTAATCTATACATGTAATATGGAGATTGCATTGTAACATTCGTTTTAGAGCCACCGAGCTGGGTGAGGAAGCAAAGAGAGTACGATCACCTAGATTTCTGCAACCGGACAGTCTTGTTAGACCGTACATAAAGGATGAAGCCGAAGGCAATAAGATATTGAAGGTAAGAATTTTAGTCTTCCAAGTATCTTTGATATACTTTTATCTTTAAATTTCAGATAGATGTTTCGTTTTTAGTAGGCCTATTCTATTATAATGGTACATTTCTATAGAGGATGTATTTATAATTTATATAGAATTATTATAAATATTATGTATGTATAGAAATGAATAGAAAAAGAAGAATTATAATATGCTCTTTAGGAAATATTATTTCGTATGGTATAATATTCTCTATAAAAAATTATACGGAATTAAATTTTACCAAGTCTTTCTATATGAAATAAATATGAGATTTCTTTTTCATAGGACGTGGAAAAGGGGAAATATGCGCACACGGACGTTTACGTCTACCATGTGTTCATCAACAAAGACGTACTATTACTCACCGACAAAAGATTAGCGTATCTCGAACACAGTGATTTGTTTGGTGGTTGGCGGGTTAGTAAATTTATTAACACTTGATACAGTTTGTAGCTATTTATTACATTGATCAATCAACCATCTTCTCTTGTCAAAATAAAAGAACGGGCTATATATCTATGCTTTTCTCATTTTTTTTCCAGGTTGACTGGAGTTATACTTGGAACGAATTCAGCGACCCGGCAAGAATCGTAGAGAAAGGTGTACAAATTTTTACCAAAGACGCTACTAAGAGAAAGAAACTCGGTGGTCTATTCGGCAGTGCGGATCAATCAAAGATACTTTTAATAACTGATCATAATATTAAACAGGTACGTATTACCAGCTAGTTGTATAGTTTTGCAAAAGTATTTTCTATTAAATCATCATAATTATATGGAGGGGTGAAAACCAACCACAGGTGGTGTAAGTCAAATATTTAAAAAAATAAAGACTTTTACCACTGTGGTTTTTACTCCTCCATATATATAATTAATTTGCACCATATGTGATGTATTAAATCATATATTTTATCTCACGATTTGTTATCTTTCCTATAGTTGTTGTGTGGTAAAATACAAGAGCAGATTGATCAATCTGGAATATGACAGCGATGCACAAACGTAAAAGAAAAAACGTGCTTGTGCGCTTCGAGCTACAGAAGAAAATAAAAAAGGCGAAAGAGAGAGCAAGCGAGCCAAGTTTCTTCACTTCCGGAACGTTTCGCGAGCGATTTGCACATTTTCTACCGACACTATTTATAAGACTGATACCGCGTAAATCGCAACAATCGAATATAAAAAGGAATGCTAATTAATATACTAAGAAACCGTGAAAGAATGTATGGAATCTTTCTTACACTTCACTATGCAACTGTTCAGAGCTTTTTTGCTATCGGTATCATTACCGAATGAACAATGTTAGATTGGTGCGAAAGATTCGTCGCATTCGTCTTTCAAATAAAGTTGAAAATGAAATATTACGTAGCTTTGAAGTACGTTTTATTAATCAAGACAGTAAAATGTTAGCTTCGATGTTTTCTCTAAGAAATTTGTCACTCCTTTTTTTTTTAAATTCCAACGATTTTATATTAAATAGAATTTCATAGAAAATAATCTTTTGTACTAATAGTTGCAATATCTGAATATCACAAAAGAGAAAATAATTTTTTTTTTAATTTATACTTGTAGGAATACCACGCGCGCGCTTTTTATTCGATTGAGCGAATCGTTTTAGTCACACAAGAGTTACCATTTCCATAGTATCGTTAAGAGCTAAGTTTACTACGATCACAAAGTGGACGTGATCGATCGGGGACATAAGAGTAAGTAATCCCCATGCGTGTTATAAACAAGTGAAGTGAAATAGAATGACAAGAAAGTGAATTTTATTTTAACAAACTAAAAATTAGCAGTACAATAAAATTATATACGTACTTGTTGAAATATTATGCAGATTCTTTATGAAAATCCAATGAACCGGTATTGTTTTATATTTATAAAAAGTTAGTTTTATCACACACACACACACACACCACTAATATGTCGCATTGTTCAATCCATCATAACGCGAGCGTCATCACTCAAATGATACATACGGTACGTAATGATTGTAGATGATGAAAGTAATGATATATACGCTTAATTACCTTCCTGCTGAGGCTTCCGGCATCGAGCAAAAGTATTAAAAAGGGTTTGCCACGAACGGCCATTGACGTATCGATTAGATGCATTGTTAAGACGTAATAAATTTTAATACCGAGCTTTAACGCCTAAATGATTGTGTATCGGTGATATTTCTACCTCGTTTTATTATTTTTAACGCTAGTTAATAATTAATTAGAATTATAACAAACTAATAAAGATATAGGTGGAATTATTTAAGTTTTGTAATACGTAACGTACGTGATCTTTGTAACTAATTCTTTTTCACTTGATTCCATGGAGAGTTTTAATTAAAGCCAAAGTAAAAGCATACAAAACTATGTTCATTCGTACAACGCAATTTGTTAATTATATATGTATAGTGTACACTGTGTGCTTATTATGTATTTAATTAATTTAACTGTACAGTTCTGTTGCAACATTTAATAAAATTATTACAACTGTATTTTCAAGTATATTTTGTCTCTTGTGTGTGTGTGCGTATTGTAATATTTCTAAAAATAAATGGTACGTGCACCCGCTGATATATTTAGTGCGATTACTTGATTTGTATAGCGTATATTTGTCCACTTATACCTTCATTTGTTAATCGTAGCTGCGATTGATTGACTACAGATTCGGCTATATTCGGCTATACACGTAGGCATGTTTAGGAGGTACTATTATTAATACACAACATAAATAAGAGTAGAGCAAGAGGTTCGATATATGTTAACGAGTACGTCTATTCGGCCTGTCCAATGCGGTCCGACGAAACCGATATCGAAGAACAGCGGATTCCACAGCATATCCCAGGTCCTCCGCAATTACCGCCGTTAATCAAAGGCCAAAAACTGAAGAGCGTGAGTGACATTTCAATCATGCGAGTCTTAAGCGGATCTTAATTTTCGTTGAATTTGGCGATTTGCCAGATTCACTTTAATTCTCTTTTAAAATTCTGCAAAAGAAAATGTTTCAACTGTTTCGATAAATTAAAATTTTTTCAACACGGTTGTCTTCTCGCTTTGATTTCCTAATTAAAAAAATAATAATCTTGATATAAATTCTAAAATTTCGTTTGTTAATAGTAGTGTAATCAAAAAGATTCGCCAGCGACACTTTCAGCTTATCAACTATTTGGATTCCAGGGACCGTACACCGTCACGGTGACTGACGAGATGGTAGCGCAGAGGGAAAGGGAGAATCTGGAACTGTACAAGGCCTGGGTGCGGGAACAGCGCAGGAGAAACATGCTGCCGCAGGAGGAGGCCGACGAGTTTATAGGCGACTTCAAGGACGTCATCGTCCGGAGGGGCTTTGTCCGCAAAGTCTTCTGCCTCCTCACGCTGCAGCTCATGTTCACCATCCTCGTCATATCCATCTTTATGTTCGTGTAAGTATACACCGGAGAGAAACCGGTATCTCGACGATCCATTCTTTAATTCTATTGTATTGATTTGTATTGTATAAATATATTAGTGTGATTTTCGGACGTACTTTTCAGGGATGAAGCGCAGAAGTTTATGATGGTACACTGGTATCTGTGGATTGTTGCCATGTAAGCTAAGGAAGGCTCAGCCAAGGATAGATTTCTTGTCTGCCCTGATCTAATTCTGTTAGGACTATATTAAATGGAAAGGAATGAGAGGGAACGAGCAGATGATATATAAATAATATTATGATTAACAATATGATATCTAAAATATCTATGCATAAACATATTGTAATATACATGTTACATAGAAATTAGATATTACATATCAATATTATGTTATAATATATCCATTTTATATTTATATATTACAATACTCTCTCCATGCTGTCTGTTCGCACTTGATTCTTTTTATTTATATAGGTCTAAAAAATCGTCTATTACTTGCAATTAATTGTACCGTTTATTTTGTAAACTTTAGTTTAATTAAGACATTCGCTTGTATTTTAGGGTGTTCTTCATCGTCGCGTATTGTGCCATAGCCTGCTCGGTGCATGCTAGGCAAACGCCACCGTTCAATTACATCTGTCTATTTCTACTGGTACGATCTCTCGACATTTTCTTCTTTTCCTCGCAACGGATTGGTAATCTCTCTCTCTACGTAAATTAAAATTAATCCACTTAAATCTCTCATGAATCGCAGACACTAGCAATGTCGTACCTGGCCGCCTTCGTCTCCGTGTTTTACAGCATCGAGGTGATCCTCATCGTTATGGGCATGACCGCCGCCGTCACGACAATCATAGCTCTTGTGGCAACATTCTCCAGGGTAGTTTTCTCTCTCTCTCTCTCCCCCTCTTATTTATTCTATACTTTTGTCGCACGTTCATGATACGTTCATGATTTAACATGTGTCACACTGAAGCTTGTATGTTAAATTTTTTCACTGTATATGTTTATACTTGTCGAGATTCAATATACATTATATTTCCCGTTTTAACATATGTTAATATATATGTTAATTCCTGATTCAATACATGTATATATTTATATATGTATATACATATATTGAATCAGGAATATAATACTTTTCAGAAATTTAGTTTCTGATTACGTTTTCTTTAATTTATTTCCATTTATACTAATTGTAAGTATATTAGACAAAGAAGCAGAGAGAGAGAGAGAGAGAGAATAAATGACAAGAATCGTTATTATGATGAAATTACAGTTTGACTTGACAATGAGGCCAGGCTTGCTGATGGTGATTGGATTGGTTTCGATCGTAGCCATTTTTACATTGCTAATAATCCTGCTGTTCACCCACGTAATTGTTTTACGCCTGATAATCTCTATCATTGGGACGCTCCTGCTGTGCATGGTCAGTGTATTTTGGATTCTTGGAAAACTCATCTAATCGACAATTAACATTAACATCTTAATTTGACGACTTTGCAGTTTTTTGAATTCTTACATCTAAACATATATCTAGAAGCTATATATATTAATTTTAATAAATCTGCAAATGTGTTTATTTAAATTTTCTCGATTACAATAATTCTTAATATTAATTCAATGTGGCAATTTACAAAAATAAAATGGCACGTGTGTTGAGCTATACTATAATAAATGGATTAAATCAAGTAAAATAAAAACGTCAACTGCGCGCGAAGGTCAATCGGGAACTTTGAATATACATATATATAATCATGTAATTTACTGTAATAGATATAAACAAGTAGGCACGAGATTGCAATATTAAAAATTGTACGTTTCATGCATTATCGTTTCAGTATCTCTACTTCGACGTGCAAACGATCATGGGTGGACGCAGAATAGAATTGAGTCCCGACGAGGTTGTCTTCGCGACAACGCAGATTTACGTCGATATTGTACTGCTGTATCAGTATTTACTGATGTTCATGGGATTCTTTCACCGATAAAAAAGAGAAAACACAACGTCCTCGATATATTGTACTTGATTATATTTAAATATGTAGGTATTATACACTTACATATATTTTTTATATTATATACTATAATGAATATTATATGTCAGTATATACATATGACATTATAATATTTATATAAACGTAATAAAAAAAAATAATACTTGTTACTTTCCTCTTTACCTTAATCTAATTTAATATAATTTTATATTGACATTTCAAAATTAACGCATACGAATATGATAATACAAATCAAAAGCGAGCAGCAGTTCTATTCTATTTGTATGCGTTAATTTACTTAATTTTAAAAGCGTTGCTTTTATTTATTGTATGCAATTTTTAAAAATTGTTGCATTGTCAATCCGCACACGCGCGCGCGAATCCTGCATTATCGACGGTTGATATGATGACATTGGTGATGATAAGATAATATACGCAATAATTTCAAATTATACATTATATTATTAAAAGGTGAGATATAGAGTCTATACATATTATTTCGATTATGTGAGAGTACATATATCTTACGTTAGAAGAGCAATCAAGACGAGCTTAATTATTTGGTGTAAGTTTGTGTTATTTTTTCTTGTTAATTTTTATAATACATTAGATAGAAAAGACATTTCTATAAAGCTCATTTTTTCCTCTTTCTAAAGCAATGACTAGAACGCGCAGTCTATATATTCATTATACATTACGTTTATGTTTCTCTCTCGCACTCTCTTTCTCTCACAATCAGTGACAATCAGTGTGCGATCGCGATCGCACACGGTGCCCCAGGCCCCAGGCCCCAGCGGCCAGTCCAGCCCAGTGGTGCCGTGTGGTGCAGTGGTACGGGTCATACGGGTGCCCAGGGCCCAGCAGAATCGTGAGTCGTGAGCGATGCGATTAACATGTTTTGAGTACTGTTCGTCGCAGTTTCGCGAGCGGACTTGGAAAAATATGCGATCCCTGCTGCATTGGAGCTAAATTGCGATCAATTTCGAAACGCTACACGCTACCTCTCGAGTGCCGAGCACAAGGGAAGGAGCAACGATTCCTTCCTGCGACAAGAGCGAGTTTGTAGATTTATAACCTCCTATTGACTTTTTTCCGCTTGATTGCATCTTTTGCTCGTAATTTTGGTCATGCCAACAATAACACGGCGATTATATTACAAATTAATTTATTTTACCGAGAATAAAGTTATCAATGTATGTATCGATAAAACACATTTCGTTAGTTAAGCTGTATATCGAATTGGACTGTAGCACTGTAGGATTGTCGCGTGTTACTTGGAACATCAAAGATCAAAGCAGAATATATTGACATTTTACTAATTTAACAATTTAACAACGTGTAGTGACAACTGACACTAATCTTTCTTGATTCGGTTGCTTTTTGTAGAAAATGGAGAGCGAGCGCTTAACTGGCAGAGACACCAAGAGACACGACGAGAGTACTGAGGCTAAACCTAAGGAGACTCTAGGCAGTCTAGGCTTGACCACCGCAGTAGCCTTGGATACTCTGCATCGCGATGTTACACGCGTTCTGCAGGAGTACGAAGAGGATCGCAGGAGAAATAAGTAGTATCTTGTACAGCGATTGTGATTATTTCGAGCAAGCGCAATAATGTTTATATCAAGTTTATACTTATATATCGCGACAATCGTTTATATTCAGCAAGTATAGAGCTTGGCTGAGGGATGCCCTACATCATCGCAGCCAATATACGACGCTCTGCTGGACCTCCGCAATCGCCCTGCTGATCAACGCCATTATTCTCATCGTTGCGTTCTTCACGCTCAATGAAACATGGTATTTATTAATTAAACGGGGCGGCACATTTGTGTGAAACTTGGACCGCGTTTCTCACCTTACAACTCTCCGTGACAACTGACAACTGACAACCAGCTCCCTGCAGTAAATAAATATATTATTGCAGGTATTCGACACTGCCGTACGAAGGACTGACAGTCTGTTGTTTAGTAGTATTGAATTTTATCTTGGTGATATTGGATAACAAATTACGACACGAGGAAATTCCTCATAGAGTGAAACGTCTTCTGGATAAACTCAATGGTACGTATTTAAATAGACACCAATAAAGACGTTTCATATCTGTGTGACACACACATTTATCTCATCTCAAAATTAAACGTGCAAGCAATAGAATAGCCTGCATAACAATATCGCGCAGTTTTTGTATAAATCCCATATGAAGCTTCTCACAGTAGCAACGATTATACGTACACGTGTGTATTTCGAAATTGCAGTTGCACGTTCCACATGTCAATGGAAATCCGACAACTATCCGCATCTGTGCAGTCCGCAATCCCCTTGCCTGACCCTGCAGTGGACGTATCGCGATGGTCAAGTAGTCAACTTGCCGTGGGCTTTATTAGTGGCCGGTGACATAATCGTGATGAAGCCAGGCCAGCAAGCACCTGGATATTGCGTGCCGTACGACGTACGTGAATTCAACTCTCTCTCGCGACCGAGACTTCTCTGAGATGTTCACAGTTTTCAACATGTCCAAGTTACACAGAGATTCTGTTGAAATCAAACTCGGTTCGCAGAATCGAGCTTTCTACGTAAACTTTGAATTGCAGGATGCGGAAGCTCCTGTTTTGCATGCGAAAGAGACCTACTGTGCGCCGGTACACAGCGCGAACGAGATTTTCTCCACGCCGCAGGCCCGCGCACCTCTGAAGAGCAAAATCTACAAACTTCAGGAAACGCCATACCTGATGAATCTCCGAATGGCGTTGGATCAAGCTCTCGATCGACCGGTCACGTATTACAATCGCAAGCGTCACTTGTTGATGATCTGCTGCATCGAGCACTTGACCTATCCGATACTCGTGATCGTTATCCTTGTGGTCAATCTGCTCCGTTATCTGTATTTGACAGATTATTTTGGTACCGGCCACTGGAGTGAGATGTTTTTGCTGCAACCCATCACCATTAGTCTGCCGTTGCTGCCGTTGATGTTTCCCGCCTGCTGGATCGTCCTCAATTGCTTCGGCATGGCCCGTTTCAAAGCATTGTTCAAGCTTTATCTGTCCGCAAAGAAACTCCAGGTCAGTATTTAATTTAGAAATTCATTATTTACAAATTAAAATTTATATACCAAGTGTATATTACATGTACGTAATATAATACACACATTCTACAGAGCGTATTGTGATTTTGATGAATTATATTTGATTTAAAAAAAAAATAATTAATTAATTTATAATTTCCTTAAATTTAGTTTGTAGATCCTTTTGAAGACGCGGATATCAATGGTCCCAGTCATCCGGATGTAGTGTATAATTGGCTGGAACTCAAAGAGTACTTTTTCAATATTCTTTTTGGCACGGAGCACATGATGTCGCGGTCGGCGAGCATTTTACACGTACTGGGCTCTGTGACTGTGAGTATCGTAGCACGACGTGACTGTGACGTTATACTCTAGTACCAGTAGGCAATGATTCTGTCAAAGATTCGTCTAAAACATTCTATATATATTTCTGTAGGCACTGTGCTGCGTAGATAAGAAAGGAATTCTTTCGTGGCCTAATCCTACGGCGGAGAAAGTATTTTTCCTACGTAACGCCAATATTTTGTCGCCGAGCTCAAGGTAGTCATCTTATAGTCGCGCGCGGACCCAGTTGGGGATATAAGAATCCGAGTAAAAGTCCAAGAATTTATGAATTTCTCCCCCTGAGACAAAGGAGTTTTGACGTAACTTTTATTTACGGTGAAATCACACGGTGCTACGCGGTATCTCGATGCCGATTACAATCCCGTTTGTTTTTTTCAGTACCGGCAGCGTGGACAAGACGACTGATAAGAACCAAGAGTCTGAGGAGACCAAGGTCAACTCCAATAGAACGTCTTACGTTCAGCACGGTAAGGAAGGACGCGAGAGACAACGAGAGTCGTCGAGTGCGCGACGTAACGACATCCGATGCTTGTCGCAGATATGTCGCACTCCACCGCCGAGGTTTTGGATCTCACCCATGATCACGCCCTGCCGTTCCGCCTGCAGTTCGACGACCAATCGTGGCGACAACATCTCAACTCCCTGAAGCCGCTCGGCCTGGCGATCCTCCTCAACACGTGCAACATGGATACGCAGGAGCACTACATGCAATTCTGTTGCCATGTCACTTGCGAGGCTCTTTATAACGAGAACCTAGTCCCAGTGACCAACAGACGGTATGTGCGTCCTTAATCTCTCTCTCTCTTAGAATCGATTGCCATTGATTCAATCCTTGCAAAATCCAATTTCAAAAGAATCGAAAAGTAAAGTTTAAAATTTCAGCAGATGTCTGTGCGAACTGGCGAAGCAGATCGGCTTCCAGGACCAGGCGCAAAAGATCTTTCAACTGGAGCAACAACTGTGTACATTTAGACATGTAGTAAGTATTACTAATAATTGTTTGCATGTAAGAATTTAGGATAATGCTTTTCCTTTTTTCAAACTCACGTGTAGAGTCATAGTGAAATCGCCCTCCGTCAAAATTTTAAAACGTGCTCGCGCGTTCTGTGTAATCGCAGAAATTGTCAAACTGAAGTTTGTGTAGCTGGTTAAAAACAGTCTTAATCAAACTGGGTTTTTTTTTTAAGCTTTGCCATTCTAAAAAGATATCGTTCAGAGGGGGATGATTTTTGTTACAAAAGCGAATAAAAGTTGTCAATCGGCAGCAAACTATAAACGTTTTGTTGGTAGCAACCGGAGATGGTCAGGCGGGATATAAAGTTTGCGCGTTCGCTGAGCATCGCGACAAAGTTGAAGTTCCCGTTTCCTCATATGGTCACCGTGGTCGTGAAAGAGCGCAGCGGTGGCGGTCTGCAATTGTTGACGCAAGGAACGGCCGACGTAATTCTAGACTCGTGCATCGAGTACTGGGATGGTCACGATCTCTGTCCTCTTTCCGCATCAGACAGGTACATGGTTCGCTTTTAATTCCATCCAGTCTCCTAAACAACGTATTCTAGAACATCTTATTACATAAGGAAAATTATATATGTTTTGTAAAATGTTTGGTCCCGTGTCCCGTGGTAAAGTTTACGTGTTATGTAACGATTCTCTCTGGTTTAATAATGGTGTCCCTCTTTTGATAGCGATAATTTGATAATAATAATAATAATACGTTCCTCTTTTGTCGTTGCAGAAAAAAGGTGCAGGACTTTTACCAGAGGACGAGCTTGACCTCGTACTGCACCGCATTCGCTTACCGACCGCTGACGCGCGCCATCAGCGACAAGATGTCCGAGATATATCTGGAACTGCCTGCTGATAGCAAACACTTGTACACGCCGCACAGGAGTCCGACCCCTTTGCCGTGGGACTTTAGAAACGTTCTCGATCCCAGAGTACGAGGAATATTAGGGCAGTTTCATTCGACAGGTTGTGCACTACTCACTAATTGAACGGATTTTTTTGTCTGTAACTTTGATCTTTAAAATTAATTTATTTTTATTTGTTTCGCAAATATTTCAACTGCAGCAAAGAAAACGTGACTTTCTCTTCTCAGATTCCTTGTTGTGCAACGAAACGAAGGATGATGACGTGAGCGACGTCGAAAGCTGCTTCGAGGTGCAGTGTAATCAGGTTTTCATCGGAATGGTGACCATGCAATATCAGGCGCAAACCGATATGGTGCGCCAACTACTATGTGGTCGAATCTTTTCTTTTCTTTTTATTTCTTTTTTTAAATTATTTTAAATTTTCTTTTTTTTTACTGCAAACACGCAGTGATGTACATTATTGACTACAGGTGCAACTGATTGAGCAACTGGACAGGGCGTGCATAAGATTCGTCCACTTCAGCAAGGAAAATGAGCTGCGCTCGCGCGTTTTCTCAGAGAAAATGGGTCTGGAGAGCGGATGGAATTGCCACATCTCGTTACTCAGCGAGGGGGCCAGGTATCCTATGTTGTAGACGCGCGATGTCGTTTTTCTCTCAATGTCTCTTGGATTTTCATATGGGGCATATTCGTGACTTTTTCTTACCATCAGTGTCCATCTGATCCGACGTTCTCGTGATCCTCATCACCTTGATTAGTTTTTAGACAAATGTTTCCTTTGAGGAAGAGAAAGGAGATGGAAGAAAAGATTTAAAAATGAGAAATCTAAAAGTATATATTTAAAAAAAAAAAGTTTTTAACTGAAAGGGTTAATCGTCAGGATCAGACACGCACGTGGGATAGCTGCATGCATATTAACGACGCATTAATTCTCTTATTCTTGTTAGAGCGAGCTACCACGAGGCTCAAATGTAAATCATGTCCGTGTATATTGCAGGAGACAGCAATGGCTGGAGAGATATCCGCATATGCCCCCGTCGTATATGTTTGTCTATACGTCTTTTTTACTCTTGTTATTGTTAATATTGATCTGCTGCATGGTCATCTTTGTTACGCAGAATGTCTCATGAAATAATACACAAGATCCACGTCGTATACACTGAGTGCAACGTAACTTGCGTGTCCATGTTTTACATCATATAAAGATTTATTTAAAAATAAATCGTTCAGAAAGCCGTTGCAACTAAAAATCCTAAAAAAGATGTATGTATATAGATATAGTAATTACCGTATATTTTAAATATATTTTTAAAGGGATGAGTAAATGGTTGAAACAACGTTTTGGAAATTCTGAAAATTAAAGATCGAATCAAGTTTAAGCTTGAATCTCAGACATGTTTCTCCGCGAGACATTCTGCAGTGTCACTAATCTCGATAAAAGATACGGTCGCAATCATTTGGCTGCAGTGTCCTAATATCTCCCCTAACATGTGTACTAATATCTCTATCTTTATTCAAGGCATATTAACGCAGGGCATATTAATTTTACTTTATTATCACTTGTTTGTATTTCTTTTTTATAGATACTTTGCAAACATACATTTTCAATTACATGTTCCTTAACGTGTGAAGCAATTTTGTTGTTACTGTGTATGCGTGCGTATGAGTGAGTTAATGTCCATCAAGGATATGATTATGCGAATACACGCGTACTCGCGCGAAGAAGATACACGCCCATATGTATTTTACTGTAACTAACACACACATGACAATGCCAGGTCCGAGAGTCCAGTGGGTTGGTGGGTGAGCCAGGCAGCAGCCATGTCCTCACCCACTCCCTCACCCACAGCCCAATCTCATCAGCCTAATTACTCCTGCATGGACGAGGCCAGCCACTTGCTTAATCGTGTCTTACCTCGGTACGTTACGCCGATTACATGCAGAAATAGCTCACTATACGCTGTACAATATAAAATCAGACTTTTGCTTTGCTTCAAAAGAGAAAAACAAAACACAAGTTAAAACGGCAAAATATTAACCGTAGATCGTACAATTGCAAGTAGGTACTTAAAATGGAAATTTAACAAATATCATTTATATTCAGATAAACGGATTTGAAAGAAATGGACTTGAAGCAATAAATATAAATGAAATACTAATAAAAAAATATTGCGAGAAAAAAATTTAAATACCTAAAATCTCTTGCGCGTTCTACGGTTGATCGATCAAGAGAAGAAATGTGCGGCATGATGAGAGAATTCTCTCATTTATTTGTCATGGTAACTTTGCCGTGTCCCAAAAGACTTTTGGGCAGCAAACTGACGTATTCTCTTGGCTTCTTAGCATTAGATGTGTTTCTTATCGCCCACCATTATCACTAGCGAAATACCAAGCGCGTGATAGTATCCACTAAGAAAGAATGTTTCCCGTTTTAGCAACAACTTGAACAACAGCCGAGCGATGAGTATGTCGGCGCCGAGCGCTATCAATACGGACTTCTCAACGGTCAAGTTCGACGATGAGACCACCGAGTGGAACAACACGGGGGCTTCGCAGGTCAAGAGCGCGATGAGCCACAGGTTGCTGTGATATCTAATGCCAAACTAAAAAGATTTCTATAAAGATATGCGATGGTATTCACAAGGTTTGATAATGCTACAGAGATAACAAACTGTCGAGCAGGGAGCAGGACACGGTGAGAAGCGAGGACAGCGTTTTGGTGCAGAGCGTTGATCTAGGATCAGGCCAGGAAGCTTGGAGATCCTTGAGCTGCCTCACCGACAGCACCGAGCAAAGCGCGCCGGTCAACTTTGATCTGTCGAACAGGGTAGGGCAGATCTCCTTCTCGATTAAACTTAATAAACGTTTATGATACATGAGATACTTATTCTACGAGCGCAGGCTAAATTGCCGAGGGGCATAGATAAGATACGTCCGCACATCGAACTAATAGACAACGTTCCTTTGCTCGTATCCCTGTTCACCGACTGCAACACTACAGTGACTCGCGAGATGTTGCACATTATGCAGGACTACGGCGAGGTGGTATGCGTGCTTGGATCCTCCGCCAACGCTGAAAACATGCCAATCTTCATGCAGGCTGACGCAGGGTAATTATAATCTTTGTTATCGATCGAATCGGTAAGATTTTTTAGAGACGCGATCACCACAAAGGCAAACGTCCATCCAGGCGTACACAGAGAATCGCGGTGTACGTCTGACTGCAATCGTCTAGTGTGATCCTACATCCCGGAAGTAAAATATTTTTCCTCGAGTCTTGAAAATTCCCTGATTGCCCAGCCTCATTTTCAATTAAATTTTCAGGCATGTAACCTCTCAAAAATTTCATCAACAGAATCAAGTTCATCTCGAGAAAGATCCATATATAGTTTCTGATCTTGCGAAAGTGATCGGTTCTCTCTGTATCCAAGTTTTCTAAAGACTTTTAAATCGATTGCAGAGTAGCGGTGGAGCCCTTGTACCCCCAGGTGTGTCAAAAAGTACCCGTGTTGGTACCTACTACGGAGAATCAAGGAATTTCTCCCATCGACCTGAGTAGAGCGCTCAACTCCGTCGCGTGTTCGCTGAGTGTGAAACGCGAGGACCCCGTGGCAATCTTTCATCTCATTATGGAGGTATTTACGGTGTATTTTCCAAGAAATTAAATGGGAAGGTAACGAGGCACAATAAACGGTTCTTTTCTTTGCGTGCACACCCACAGGCTCGTCATTATATGAAGAATCTATGGAACTGTATACAATTCTGGCTGTGCTGCTTAGTTACGCTCTCATTTATGCAAATGCTGTCGGCGTTTCTACTGCTGCCGCCACTGTTCTCCATCGACCAGGTACTCTGGCTGTGCTGCTTGATAATCCCCATATTATCGACATCAATGATCGCCACGCCGATAGATTCGACGATAATGCAACGCGCGACTGGGAAGAATCAATGTGTAGTTAACGGAGAGGTGAGAAAGGCGATAAATATATATGAGGTCATGGGCAATTCTTTCGAAACTCGCGTGCTTCATTTATAGTTCGAATCAAATAGAAACTCGATTTATAAAAAGAAGAAGGCTGTTTTCATATTCTTTTTTTCATTTTATTTCTTTGTAACGTATACGTATGTAATTTTATTCCAATATTTTATCTCCAAATGATTCGCGAGACGAAAGTATGCGAATTCGCGAAAAGGAAATTCATTAGGGTAAAAGGTCTTGTGTGTGTGTGTGTGTGTATATACTGATTACTTATCAGCATTAATTTAAGCAAGTAATAGGAGCTGAAGGAGAATAAACATCGATAATCCCTTACGCGCGATTATAGGTCACGCTATTCGTGCTATGGTGCTACGGCAGCAAGTTTTTGCCGACGGTGATCACAGTGATCCTCTCGCAGTGCATCTCGTTCTTGACGCTTTGCCCCGTCTACGTGCCGCAGACGAACTCCAAGTGCCTGTATATATATCCAGATCCGCGGGATCAGATCTGGGGCGGCTGGGGCAGCAGGCCGATCGTCGTTCTGGTCGTGCAACATTTCGCTCTCACCCTCATAGTCCTGCATTTCGGTAATTCGAACATCCTAGCAATATTTTTTCTATCGTATTGTTAATTCTTTGACATATCGTACTTGGGGCAAAAAATTTAGTCGTCCACAGTTTGTCAAATTCTCTCTTGTTGAAAACAAAATTACTCAATTTGTTAATTTTTCAATTTTTCAATCAAACGAGCTCTTGTTTTGCCTTCAAGTTTATTATTTTATTTCATCGTGTCTTTTTTTTCATGTCCACGTCCACTTGAAAAAATGATGCATTATTAATTAATTTTTTAAAATCAGGATAAAACAGAGACATGGCAAATCTTTTATACCAACCTAATACAGCAATACATACTGACACACAGAAATAATAATATACTTGGAAGCTCATTAACATATATCTTTTCTTTCAGTTACGATATCTGTCAGCTTTGTGCACAGGGAATACTCGATATGGAAGAAAAATCCCATGAGTAATTGCACCTGGTTTCTTGGCGTATTTGTCGTGTAAGTATAAAAGATCGAACTGAATAACAGTCTGTCGCAAAAAAATTTGTCCTTTCGAGTTCTCAGATTGCAGATTAAATTCTAAATACATCTGTCGTTGTACATATTATTGTCTTATAGATTGTGCGTGCAAGCGGTATTCTCCGGTGTGGCGTTCCGCAGGTTTTGGCGGGAGGAAGGCAAGAAGATTGAGAATTTCCCGATTCACGTACCGTTGTTCTTTCTACTCTCTGTTCCGCTGACATTAGCGGTTAACGAGTTGATCAAGTGGCAAGAGATCAAGTAAGTTTATCGTTTTCTGCATGCCTCTAGTCGTCTATGGCGCGTTCGCTGCAATTTCTGAAATTAATTAATGTTTCTATTCTCTCTTTCTCAGAGTGAACGTCAGGTACCAGAAAAGAGCACGTTTAGAATTTGGTACGAAGCTGGGAATGAATTCGCCATTTTAATCAAATTCGTAGCACCAATTTTTGATGTCTTCGAAATATCAAATGTGTTTTAAAAGATATATACGGGTACATCGTTAGGTGTATATATTATTAGTATATGTTATCGAAAGTATTCTTACGATTCAGTTGCTGCAAACTCGAGAGGTCCAAAGGGCTCTCGTCAGCTTTGTGTACTTATAACGCCGTGTCAAATATTGCCAAACGATTAGACTCGAACGAGGCACCGATATTTTTCTATAGCGATATGCATATTTATATTTTGCGATGTAACAACGGCCCACATCGGACGCCGCGCCGCGAAGCTGTCGATTGCGAGCTTAAACGAGCGTCGCGCCGTGTGAGCTTTCGCACGATACATCGGGCCGATAGCGGAATATCTATCTTATTTTATCAAATCGCTCTGATTAAGATGCGCTTTTTTCGCTCTTGATTCTGTCGTACGTCAAGATGTCTCACATCATAGGTACATCGCGTTTTAGATTTCATTTAAAAAAAAAAAAAATTTATATATATATAGAAATAATATTTTAATAGTAAATAAATAGTAATTTTACAATTACCGCAAGATTATTTCGTTTCTCTAGTATCCATAGTGCGAGCGTGCTTGAGAAATCTGAGACATCTTGTATTTGACGACTTTGGTATTATACGTAGAGTATTTGTACACACATAAAGATGTTCCTATTGATAACTTTGACATCTTCGTCAATGTTCGATTTCGCGAGCTCGTTGTAGAATCGTATAATCGAGAAATCGGAAGTTTTTAGCGTGAACGCAACGATAGTAATTTATTTGTTGTGATCAAGGATTAGCCGAGACTTTAGCGAATTAAATGTACTCTGCGAGATTATAGCTAGCCGCATCGAGAGTTAAATTCAAACTCTAGCAACAAGAGTCTCGCTGGTACGAGACAGTTCTCTGGTTGTGAGACAGTGTTCGCACGCGCGCGCGCACGTGGTCATATTTGGATATTAGGTTTCTTGATTTCCCACCGATAAAGTGGAATATGATCTTAATCGCGAATTTCAAAACGGCCGAACCTCCACAATCAACTTGCCCCTTCTCCTTTTGCGCTGTTCTTGTACCACCGTTCGATTTTGACTAATGATACTACGAACATGCACGCGCATATAATATCTATTGTTTGTTACTCGTTTTTTAAACTCTAAATTGATCGACGACGTAATTTTCGTTCGTTGTACAAAATACGAGTGGAGACACTGAAGGGAAAATTAAAAATAGAGATTGCTAATAAATTAAGGGGATGCATACATTTAACCGGATCAAAAATCAATTCTTTTTTACATTTTCAGAAAGTATAACATTTAAGGATTTCTCTCAATGCAGTAAATTATAAAATTATCAAACAGGCTATTCGTCTTACTTAAATCTCTTAGATATCTATTTTTTTCTTGCCTTCTATTACATATTGAAGCAAATGTAAAAAAGAGATAGAATAGGTCTGATTTTTTGTGTTATGCGACGTTAAGTCGGAGGTTTGACTATACTCTAAATCTTTGTTAAACGATATTCCACTCTCGTAACAAATTCATTTTACTGATAAACTTCCGTTACAGTGTGGCATATCGTCCCCATGTTGTTAATAGTTGCTTTCCATTTACACTTTAGTGATCTGAGTCACTCAGTTATGTGAGTATTTTATACTCAGGTAAGATAAGTCATTTTGTACTTACCTGCTTATTTTGGTGACAAAGCTATCGCATAACAATACAGATTCGTAGTCTCACTTTTAATGTGAGTTTATTAGATTCATTGAAGCACATGGTCTCGATTGTGGATAAAAACTCTGTTGACTCTCACTTGCCAGCATGCAAAAAGAACGTGCATTCGACAATTGAGTTTTGACGTCACAAGTGAGAATTATCCGAGTTTTGATGTAAATGAAAAGCAACTAATATATTGCATTCTAGACTTGGTTTTACGCGATAAAATGGATCTTTTTTTAAGATGAGAATAAAATATTGATTAAAAAATACTCCTATGATGAATTCATTTTTACTAATAAGCGTTTACATCCATTAGTTGTATTTAATACTGTACAAAGCTTAGCAACTGATCGAAATTACTTTTGTCAGTCTTTTTCTTCCGAGTCTAAGCGCTATTAACTATGGATTTAATTATATTTTAAACTAGACTACAAGAGTAAGCTATATAAATCAGATTTATTTACATCAAGTCTAATTTTTCGAAACGTTAATAAATGCATGTGTCCGTTTCTTGTACCGGTTCTTGCGGCGTTGCGTGATCCTTAATCTTTGCACGATTTGCGTAATTAGAAACCGCTGCGGATTGTACAACAAACACTATCAACGCTACGAGCACGCTAGAGCACATCGTCGCGGAATACGTTGCCTCGTACAGCAATTTCGGTGAGAACACCGACCACACGAACAGATGATAACGTTGATTGATAACAACGATCATGTAGATAGTTATCGTCAGCAGCCTCCACGCGATGTAAGACCTGCTCGTGCGCGCGACAACGTCCGTACTGCAAATACGAATCGATTCTCTTCTCATTAATAACTCTCTCATTAATAACAATTGTATCGACAAGAATTTCAGAATTCGTGAAGCACTCACCGGTTTGTCGGATATAGCTGTCGATAGTAAATGAGTAGGAAATAAGCCAGGACAGGTGCGGAATAAGTATTGACGATTAAATATACACCAGTGACGAGAGGCATATAGGAACGCAGACCGACATATCCCGCTGCGACGTCTATACTTGCAAGGCTATTGGAATTTCCCTAAAATATCAATCGTGCACAGTACGAGATTAAAAATCAGCTTAATTCTTAACAATCTCACAATAAATTATTAAACCAATCGTAACAAAAACAAAATTGTGAAAAACAAATGTTTAAAAGTTTCCCTAAAAATTATCTAGAGGAAGATTTTTTTTTTTTTAGATTTGATCAAAGATGTCAAAAGTTCTTTCTTTTGCTCCTCTCATTTGCAAAGTTCATGTAGATTAATAAAAGTCAAGGATTTCACCTCGGATTTCACATATATAAAGTCAGATACTTGCCTGATAGAAATAAAATACATTGCCTAGCCAATAATGTACGAGGATTCCGAGATCGAGCAAATTGTCTTCTCTTAATGCAGAGTCGAGGGTCGAGCTTGTGATGATCTGCATCGGCAATAGGATCACGTTGTACGGTTGGTGCAGCATCGCCGAGATCGCCACCCACGTCGTCACGATGAAAAACAGCATCATGCTCGTGAAACGCCGTTTATCGCGCTTAATTATTAATGTCGCGCGATAGCCATAGATTAGCAGAGACAGCGTTATTATCCCCCAAAACATACGTACTTCGTGTATGCCATCACTGCAACAAATGAAAAAGTTTGCTTCTTAAATGTTGCGGTTTGTTCGTGTAATCGCTTCGATGAACGGTCGCGATAAACTGGCATTTATATGGAATATAAAGAATGCACGTGTTTACCTTGACGAGGGATACAATGGAATTGTCACGACGGCACCATTGGACATGTGACGAAAATATATACAAGCCGCGATAACCATATTAAGGATCAACGATTGCCGTTTGTATTCTTTATCCTCGCATTCGTACGCGATCCAGATTAGAAAACAGAGTGCTGAAAATAAACATCACAAATTATACATTGACTCTTATCTTGTACGGAATATCTCGCGATGAAACGATTCATTTCCCAATCGTTTATAATAATTAAAAGATCATTTGTATTTCAGCATAAATGTTGAGAAAAATTTAAAGGTTTTTGTCAATAGATTTAGACATTTTTTACCAGCTAGAAGCAGGAACGTCGTTCCGACTTTGTTGTCGTCTTCCTTCAACCAGCGAGCTATGTCAGGCAAATGGGCCCACTTGTCGCCAGTACTGTTTAGCTTTCGCAGAACTCTGTGCCCTATTAGTAGCAACAATAGCTTAGCACAAAGTTCTATGTGACGCCTAGTATCGTTGCACGTTGGACCCACCACCCCTGTTCGCACCTTAACGCTCGTAAGATCGCTATTATGTACCGTACTATTAGATGGCGAAGAGATTCAGCTGCGACGCAACGGATTATTCAAATCTGACTTGAATTTTATCAACAATGGAACAAGTAAATTTTAATTTTATCCTTGTTCTATTTTTTATAAATTTACGTAACAATAAATTAATAAGCACATTATTAATATAATCTCTAAAAAATTTATATAAATTAAATGCTAATGCTTTCGTGAACAAATAATATGTTTAGTGTGTCTGATTTGAATTATCATTAAATCAGGAAAAAAGATGAGAAAATTCTACTCACTATCGATGGTACGCGAGTAATCTTGTGAAATAACGGTAGAGAAAGTATGCGATAGTACTAGTCCAGAAGAAATACCATGTCTGATGCTCCTCCTCAATAAAACTGCTGCCGGCGAGGCTCGCCATGTGCAACAACGCGCCGACTTGGAACACTCTGCGTATCTTTGGTCCCTTCGTGAACTATATTAATCGGAAATTAAAATATTATAATGGAGATGTTATTTTATCGTGTAGTTTATTATTGCGCAAGAAATATTTAAAATTGTCTAAACTAATAATACTTGTTAACATCTTTCGCTAGAAATTAAATAAATATTGATTCTTACCTCCGTCAAAGTAAAGTCGCTGTTTATACAAAGATCACAGTTAATATATAAAATGCCGATGACTACGAAGAACAACAAAGCATTAAATATACTCGTCGGGTAGAAAGAGGCCGTATCTTCAGAATTGTAAAAATAATACATTCCTAGACACAAGGAAAATCGCACCAAGAAAAATGATGCGGTCTTTTTATACGTAGTCCAAACAGCGGTTTGCACGAAAAACAAGATGAAAAGTATCTGGGAACAAAAAATTAAAAGTAAAAAAAATCTTCAAATTCTTTAATTTAGAGCAAAAGAGAAAAACTACATTTATTTAAATCCCTGGAATTTACCCAACGGGATTATTTCTTGGGACACATAATAATTTTGATTTAAATGCTCTTTAAATTAAACAACTTTTTAAATACTTGCATCTTTTGAGATTATCCGTAAAACTCACTTGACACAGAAAAAACACGGCAACGGCCATCGGACGAAAGTCGTACTTGATTATGCTGCTGATTAGAGCATCCTTCATCTCTTTAAGGATCGCCTTATAAGACAAGACGATCATCTCGACTATCCCCCTCTGTGTCTCACTCGCGTTCAACCAAGCGGCGTGCAGATTTACAGCGTCCAAATACTTTCGGTATACATCTGAAACAGAAATTGAGTCTCCCTTCTCGTATGACAGCCAATTCGTGATATTCTAAAAATGTATCAAAACCAGACGACGAGACGCTACTTATAAAAAAAAAACATGTGAGACAAATAAAACGTATCCTGGCGTATAAATAAAGATAATGATAAGAGGATAATGTATCCAAGTAATTTTTTTCAATTCGTTATCATTTTTAAGGTTTACCGATTTAGCTATGAGGTTTTCCGTTATACCGTTATATCGCTTTTTACTTCTTAATACACCTAGAAAACGTATGTAATAAATAAAATAATTCTAGAGACTTTTTAAAGCTACATACTAATACCTATATGTAAAATTGTTGCAGGTATTCCTTTTCATGTCCTTTTATATAATTTTTTACTTTTAGTTTCTAGATTCTTGACACAACTTGGATCTATTGCATCAACAAGTTGATTTTTCTTTCCTCGATTATTAAATTTCTAAAATTCAGAGTTTCTCATTTTCTCACTACCTTTATCTAAACATCTCAATATCCTTAAATATTCCGCGAATAACTCTTACGTCAAATACTTACGCTCAATTTGCGACTCACGGTGCGCGAGCTTCCGGAAACGGTTAAACACCTGCTTCGAGTTGTAATAAAAGAGGAAGAGCCGTTTAGCGTTGTCGAGATCGTAGATGCTGTCCAGAAACACGGAGCCGAGATTTGTAGAAGGAATAGGTAATCCGAGAGCGGTAGACAACGTCGCTGCAATATCGAGTTGCTCGATTTCAATTGATTCACCATCCTCTTGACGCAGACAGCGAGTTCCTCCTATCGTAATAAACGGCACTGTTGTCTCTTGCGGCGTCGAGCCACCGTGGCCGCCCGAGTCCTTCATCCCATGATCGCCGCAGACGATGAAAAGCGTAGGTACTCTGTCGTTGTTCTAAAAATAAATGCGCCATAGCGCAAATGAATGAGCCATAGAATTTAGTTCTAAATAAAAATAGGATAATTCCGACACTTGTTAAATAATATCTCATAATACGCTCATACTCATATATATATATATATATATATAAATATATATATATATATATTTTTATTATATATTCTGAGAAGGAGAAAAAAATTGGAAAACAGGAATAAAAACAGTTTTTTCTAATACCGACCCAATCTTGCACACGTTGGGCTATTTGAGCGACAATTTCGTCCATTTCTTGTAGTTTGGATTTAATTGAAGCGCCAAATGGGCCTTCAACGTGACCAATGTGATCTAGTCCAAGATAGTGGAGAATCATCACAGTCCAGTCGTTGTAATTCAACTCGTCTCGTATGTGTCGAGTCACATTATTATCTACCTGTTGAAAATTTAATAATTAAGCTCTCAAGAGTAATCTCATCATAAAAAAAAAGACATACAATATAGCTTGTTACATTTTATCATATATTATACATTACGTACCTCTGTAAAATCGGTAACGAAAAATGAACTAGTACCATCGTGACGATCAAATACACGGGGAAACAGAGAAAGCCAAGTGTCGTCTCCATAAAACACTAATTTATGTCCATGCTCGTTTGCTTGAAGCAATAAACTGTCGCTGTGCAAAGGTTTACTCCGCAAGTTCAGTACTATATCTATAAAGTTTGGCACTGTGCCAGTCATCATTGCCTGTATGCCAAACAAAGCTTTATAAAGACTGATTTCGGCGTAAAATACAGTAGTATTTCCGAATAACGTACTAGCACATAAAAATATTACAACTTTACTTTTATTCTAGGCATTGTCACTGTCGGCGACTGCACGTTAGCTCGTAGCAAGCACCCGGTAGAGTTTACCAGTAGATTACTCGTCAATGGCATGGCGGCTTGTCCCATTGGACCCGCGACGAAATCCCATCTTAGCCCGTCAATCACCATGATTATCAATTTCGTTATCATCGGCCTGTATAACGCATGTCTCTTTACACTGGAAACAGCGCATATATAACGATAAATATTTGGAATAAAATAATCAACGTTGTATTGATCTATTGATGAATATAAATCATAGCTTTAGCACGTATTTACAATCTAATGAAAAACAGAATACTTGAATATATTAACTAAAATAAAATTATATATCTATATCACGATTATGTCGATTAATTATTATATCACAACTTGTAGATTTATATCACGTATCAAATAAAATTATACGTTTAATACGTCGATTATATCAATACAATTAAAAAGTAAAAAACCTTATCATTATTTACCAACGATAAATAATTAAATGTCTAATGTTGTTTACATTTCTCACATGCGCAGAGAAATAAGGTTAATTTACCTTAAATTACCGACGTATTCCGGGACATCTGATCGCGAGGCGATCGCATCGGTATGCGGAGCGACGGGAAAGAAACCGTGCAGGAACAAAGCGATGGAAATCGGTGCGACCAACAAGACGTAAAATAATAATAAAAAATTATATTTAGGCATCATAGTTTCGGACGTCTCGGCCATCTCGCACCTTGCACTTGCACTTGCACCTTGACAAGTTGACACTGTTGACAGCCGGCTGATGAGCCGGCTGGCCCGGCTGGGGCCGGGTATCGAATCGAACAAATGTCGAAATTCAGCTACTCTCGCAATCGATCGAGCTCTCGACTCTCATTCCTCTATGCCCGCGAGAGGTTTCAAAAATTTCTGTCATTCGTCCCCTTTAAATTCAATTAATGTCAAGTAAATTAGAAGAATTTACGTGTCAATTTACACATAAAATAAACGTGATAAGTAATGTGTAAATATAATATTTTTTTAAATACAATAAAAGTGGACATCAGTTTTAAATGCATTCGATCATGTAGATTCAATCATAATAATTACGCGCAGTGGCGTAGCCAGGAAGGAGGGTAGGGGGATAAATCCCCCACCCCGAAATTTTGGAACCAAATATGAAAATAAAAGGTTGAAAGCGAAGAGAGAAATAAAATTGTAAATGCTTTGAAGGCTTTGAAGTCTATAATGTCTTGAACGACGTATACGTACCTCACTATAACGATAATTAATAAGATGGCATATGTCTGTCATACCGATTACACCAAATACGCAATTTTTTAAATTTTTAATTTGCTTAGGCTTCTATTATTGTCTTTTAACAGTAAAATGGCGTAACTTTTGGTTTCATTCAGATGTACATCAAAGATATCTAAATTATTTTACACTGTATTTTACTACCTTTTCACTGTAAAGTAAAAAGATATGTAGCTTCTTATTTCATTCATACATACAACATCAGCGTCCTAAAATGTACAGTACAGCCATCTAAATACAAAGGCATATACATATTATAAGCAGGGATTTCTTGCCTACGATATTACGTGTCTTTGAAAAGTCTGGTAAGTGTCTTTTAAGGGGTTTACAACATAATTCGAGAAAGAACGTCTTCTTACTTTTTTCAAGTTTATTTCAAAAGTTCACTAGTTACTACCTTTACACGCATATGATACACGCTAATGTTACAGTGTTGGATCTTACCAAAAAAATCTCCCCCTCCCCCGAAATCAAATCTTGTGGCTACGCCCCTGATTACGCGCGACACAACACAGAACTATAATGCCTCTCGCGCGTCGTTGAAAAAAAGTGGAACGAAAGAAAAAGTTACTTTGCGCGTAATAAAGAGAAAATCTTGTCCCGTCTCGCACAGAAATTGCACGAGCCTATAGAGAAGCGTGATTTCTATATAAACATAAACGCGCGACCAAGAACCGTCCGGACTCCGGACGCGCTGACGCGACGGTCCGTTGCGACCACCCTATGTATTGTAGAAAAGCTCGAAGCTCGAACAAGTCGCCACGTCGCCAGTCGCCACCGATCAATAAGTGGAGGCGGACTGGCGGACTGTTTGTCAGCCAACGCTCCGCTCCACGTAGCGCGACGTATATACTTAGCGCAACGTAGCTCGCTGTAGCGAGGCTGATCGCTGATCATTCGCGAGGTGTTCGCGCGTGCAGCGTGGTCCGTGGATCATGCTTCGGTAATTCCCGAACGTACCGTGTCCGCGACTTCTCGCGACTTTCATCCGAAATTAAGTGAGTGCCACGACTCATTTGTCAGCGTGCCCGCGCTTACGGGATACGGGGGTTTCGCATGGCATTTACTATACCGATCTCTTCTCACGAGTTTCTCCAATGTTTTCGGGTGCCTTCTCCGTTTTCCGTTCTCCATTCTCCATTCTCCGTTCATTCAGCTGATCTGTGAACTTTACCTCATTAGATATACCGAAACAAATTCATTTTACGCGTTACCTTCTCTCCAACATTATAATCTCTGCACATTTGTAAATGTACCTAAATGCGTTTGAGTGTCTTGGAATTTCCACGTATCCAATTCTTGAAAAAATCATATAATTCTTCGTTTTATTGTTAGGTATAAAAAGTGACGATAAAATCATATTTTTCACGTCGCAAGTCAATTTCAAGCGAATTTTATTTAATTGATGCATGTAATAATTAATATTCCTTACAATTTTTCGCGAATGTTATTAAATATTAAATTACTACGTACTATTTAATCGTTTCAACATTAATTCGGAAAAATGCAAATTGTATGGAGGGGCACGTAGAATTCTTTATATAATAATATTGTGTCTTTGCTAAGACACACACACAGTGTGTGTGTGTGTGTGTGTGTGTGTGTGTGTGTGTGTGTCACTCCATATGCATGCAGTAAACGTTGCTAATTCATAAATTACTTGTAATAATTTGCATCTTTTCATGCTTGTGAAACATTGAGGGATTAAATGGCACGAACAATTTCAGCGGCAATGGCATCGCTGGAGGACAGTTGGAAGGAAGCTACGGAGGGCTTGGACGCCGCGGTCTGCGACTCCTGGTTCGCGCGCTTGCAGGAGCTCTATTCGGAGGAGAAACGCACGTACCATAATCTGGACTCGCTCAGGGAAAAGCTGAATCACTATTACGAAATCAAAAGCAATCTCAAAAATCCACGAGCCGTTCTCCTTGCCATATTCTTTCAAAAGTGAGTGCCATATTCTATTCTTTCCACAATACAAGATTTTACGCCAACACGATATTATTTGTCGTATATTCATGTCTTTTGTTATATGTATATTGAATTGAATCGCTAATTATATTTGAACCGTTGCTCTTATCGGCAGCATCTGACTCAAAAATATCTTGTTGTAGCTTCGAGTACGATCCTAAAGCCTTGGTCTTTAGCGAGGACAAGAATCTTGAGCATTTCAACACTTTCGCCGATGAGGCCGAAATTCCGTCGGTGAGTAAAACAACCCAGAGTTTTGTCTTTTAATCCTCAGCGGGTATACTGTATATATCTTTTGTCAACGTGTTCAACATTGTGAAATTTTAGGTATAGCGAATATACGCGATATATAGCGAAAAAGGAATATTGTAAAAATGCTAAAAAATATAACAAAAAAATAAAATTTTAATTATATCGTTCAAACATCTGCCAACACACTTTAGAGTCAAGTAAAAATGAGATAAAAAAAATGTATGCAAATACTCAATTTCTGTTAATCATATTGTTTAATCGATTAATCGAAAGTGATCCGAGTACGTTAATCTTGCAGGACGCAGAACTCAGAGAAGAGACTTGTGCTCTGCTCAAAGTAGCGGCGACTCACAGTACCGAGGCACACAAGGTGGGCGGTGCCTTCGGCAGCGAGGATGCTCACTACTTCCTGGACCTGGATATGGCAGTACTCGGTTCTCCTCCGGATAGTTATGCCGAGTACAGAGAGCGAATACGCGGAGAATACTCTTTCCTCAGCGAGCCCATGTATACGGCGCTGCGGCTCAAAGTAAACCACCACGCGTTCAACCTTAAAGTGTAAACACACGCGGCAGAAGGACCATCTTGACAGATATTATCAGATATAAACCAAGATATTACAAAAACTGTTTTGAAATCACCATTAGACCATTTCATAAAAAAAGGACTAGGATATTTTCCAAAATTATCTACAAGA